TTTATCTTGTTTACATCATGTCATCTTGCTTAATGCGTTACTCCGTTTTTTATGAACTTAATACTCTAGACACATGCTAGATAGCAGTCGATGTTTGTAGGAATAGTATTAGATGCAGGCAGGAGTCGTTCTACTTCTCTCGGATGTGATGCCTATATATGATCATTGCCTTGAATATCGTCATGATTATTTGTTTTTCTATCAATTGTCCAACAATAATTTCTCTAACCATCATGTGCTATTTTCTCGAGAGAAGCCTCTAGTGAAAACTATGGCCCCCGGTTCTACTTTTATCATATATTAAAATCCAAAAATACATTGTTGCATTATTTATTAATTTATTTATTTGATATTTCTGTGCAATCTATCTGTCTATAAACTTACAATTCAACCGCCAAGGGATTTACAACCCCTTATTCTCGTTGGGTGCAAAGATTTGTTATCTTGTGTGCAGGTACTGCTACATAGTGTTGCGTGGCTCTTCTACAGGATTAATAACCTTGGTTCTTAACTGAGAAAAATACTTATTTGTACTGTACTGCATCATTCTCTCTTCTTCGAAAAAATCCCAATGCAGCTCACAAGTAGCAGGTCCTAAATTTTTAACTTCCACTGCAACTTTTTCAAACTAGTTGTGGCGGGCCTAAACTTTTACCCGTCAATGTAATTTTTTCAAAATAGCTGTGGCGGGCTCCGGACCGCACCCGCAATTAATTTGAGGCCACATATAAAGCCTTCTCTAAGTAGTGCCTATCGTACATGCTTTTTCGTATCGTGTGCAATGCCCCACCTCCCCCATGTTGCACAACATGGCGAGGTGACGGTTCGACCATCCTTGTGAGATAGGATTTTGAACTGTGTGCGATGACCCAATCTGCACTAGCTAGTGGGGGATCCCAGTCCAACAACCACTATAAAACCAAACCTCATTGCAATGCAAGTATCACTGCATCAGTGCGCTAGTGAGTTGTTCCTCAGTGCTTTGATCTTAGTTTTCTTGGAGACCAACCAAGAGCAATGGCGGCTGGTGGCTGTGACGTCAATGCGAGCTACGATATCAAGCATCTGCTCAAGAGTGACGCCCTGTACAAGTACATCCTGGATACCACGGTGTTCCCCCGAGAGCCGGAGTGCATGCGCGACCTACGCCTCCTCACCGACAAGCACCAAAGGTAGTAAAAAAATATAAGAGTGTTTAGATATTATTCTAGTGATCTAAACACGTTCATATTTGTTTACGGAGGGAGTACATAATTACGTCGGTCCAATTAATATTGGTCGGTGCATCCAGGGGCATCATGCAGTCAACTCCGGAAGAGGCCCAGCTGCTGCAGCTGCTGATCAAGATAGCGGGGGCCAGGAACACGATCGAGGTCGGCGTGTTCACGGGCTACTCGCTCCTCGCCACCGCGCTGGCGCTGCCGAAGGACGCCAAGGTGGTGGCCATAGACGTCAACCGGAAAGACTTCGAGCTCGGCCTGCCCTTCATCCAGAAGGCCGGCGTGGCGCACAAGGTGGACTTCCGCGAGGGCAAGGCGCTCGACCGCCTCGAGGAGCTCCTCGCCGCCGCGGAAGCCGATGCTGCGGCGCAGTACGACTTCGCGTTTGTGGACGCCGACAAGCAGAACTACGGGCGGTACCACGAACAGCTGATGCGGCTGGTCCGCGTCGGCGGCACCATCGTCTAGGACAACACGCTCTGGGGTGGCACTGTGGCCGGCGTCGCCGTGCCTTCATTAGACGTCCTGCCCGGCGTTGTTGTGGATGGTGTCCTCGCATGCATCTCCGACTTCCTCAAGGGCTTCAAGGCTGAGCTCGCTGCTGACCAGCGCATCGATGTCTGCCAGATCGCCGTGGGAGACGGCCTCACCATCTGTCGCCGCCTCGTCTGACTAGTACCATGACCCTGCCGGCACACATGATCTGCTCCATCGCCAACATCCAACCCCTGGACACTAGCCACTCCTACTACTCAAGATTTGGTTCAATAAGAAGTTGTGTGTACTATGTGCTTTCCATGCTTTGTGATTTCATCCAATAATTAAGGTCCCAAAATAGACCATGTGCCCCATAATACAAGACGTTATTACATTCAATATGTGCCATATTAGATGTAATTAATAATGTCTTATGTTATGTTATGGGATGGAGAGAGTATTTGTTTCGTGGACGGTTCAAGATTTTATTTCAATATAAGATATGATTATGTCTCTTGGCATGATAATGTTGTTAGTCAAACGTGATATTTGTATATGAGGTAGACTCTAGACCAGTAAGTGATGTGCAGCTGTAACCAGTTTGATAGCATGATGTTTCCAGGAGAATTAGGGATGTCAAAGGAGGGGGATAGGGAAACAACTTATTTTCATGATGTGTCCAACTAGAGGAGGAGAAAAACCTATATCCGCTCCCTGGATGGCCCACCTGGTCATGTCACTCATATCGATGAAATTCTAGCGGTTTTGTCTAAATCTTAGTTTCTGTAGTACCGAGGAGAAAGTCAAAGATTTAGAAAAAATGAGCTCCTCTAGGCCCTTTTCATTGCTAGAATTATTAACTGCCAGAAGTTAGCTAGCTTCCAAATCCTTCGTCTTCAAATAACTATACACAAGCGATAACGACAGCGTAACTACCAATCACGAAGTACCCAACAAGAGAAATTTTAAGATGCTACCTCTTACCCCTTAAGTGGTAAGAGAAAATTTTGATCCTAGTCGTCGACATCAACTTAAATTTGACTACATATAGATGGTAAGTATAGCAGATTGAAAGGAAATATTTTGACACATTTGATGTCCACACTTTCCAAATATAGAGATTTTTATGTGCACTATATATGTTTGGTTCATTGTACACATGTATGCATTTATTTCCAAATATGATTACTTTTTCTTTCATTGCGACAAGTTTGCGTGATAGAGATACTTGGGCAATTTTATCCAAAAATGTTCAAGTTATTATTTTTGTTACTCTTAAGAGTTAAGACATGCATGTGATACCGTATACAAAAGTCTCAAAAAGGTACAAACCCATTTTTTTAAATATATTCTGCAATGAACCAACATGTGGTTGGATAGTTATGAGAACTGTGGTGCCACCATGCCCACCAGAGTTCAAGTCCTAGACTTGACATTGGCAACTACAATTAATTCAGGACTTCCGGCGATGTGCGTTCAGTGGGAGGAGACGTTCTCATCGATTATGAAGGTGTCTATGGCGACTTCATCAATCTCAAGATGATATACCAGACCAATCTTTAGTATGTGCTCATAAGGATAGGGTGTGCATGCGTGTATTCATAAGGGCAGTAGCGGCGGCAGGAAAAACAAACGCCCCAGGCAGCCTTTGGGGGTACTGCAGCACTGTAGCTACAGTACTGCTACAATCCCCAAAGAAAATGCATCTCATGCCCCAGGTTGGCTGCCTGGGGCCTGTCTTCGCCACAAGGTAAGCATATATGCGTGTGTATGAGCATCTACGTTCATACTGTGTTCAAAAAATCCGGCATAGAAATTGGTAAATATATATATTCCTTATTTGATTGAGTGCAAAGACCATTTTAACTCGAGAATTTTCAGTGGCATCTTACCTCCTAGGACGTAATACTAATAATAGCCGCTAGACTAAGGACACGAATTTTGAGGACATGCGGCCACGCGCGCTGTCGTTATCGCGTGCGTCCGTTCTACGTTGCGATCGCCAGGTAATATAGCATGTCGCGCCCCACGCCTAAATACTCACAATGTTAATTATTTCGAAAACGAGAAAACTCTATTTATACCATCGGGCTCGTGCGCCAGCAAGCATTTATGATCGTAGTAATAGAGCCTTGTCCGCTAGCGATTCAGCCCACTGGACCACCTGTGTTAATTGAAGTAATCAATTCATACTGGGTGAAGTTATTCGGCGCAGAGTTAGTGGGCGTATTGATGGTGCGCAATGCCTTCTCTTAGGCCATGCTTGGATCCAAGGGACTATTTTTAGTCTGACTAAAAC